ATCAGGGTTTGAGTTTCTTCTGACATGTCAAAAGATGCAATTACTTGAATGATTTTAGCAATGGTTTTGAAAAGTGTAATGCCACAACAATACATATTGATTTCAGTTCCTCTTACAATGCAGAAATTATGAATTCCCCTTACTCTTCAGAACTGTATTAACTACTCTGTTTTCTGTTGATTAAAAATTACTATGCTTGTAGCATACACCAGAAAACCTTTTTCTAATTAAAAGCAAATATTTTAGGCAATATGGTTTTCTGAGATGTGACTGGAAATTAAAGTAGTCAGCAGATCCTATTGGTACACAAAAGTGGGAAGTTATATCCTTCCATAGTAATTGAACAGTCTGAGTATCTTCTGACTCAGGATCCAAATGCAGTCCTTTTTCCAGGCATTTTGTTCCAGAAACATTGCTAGGCAGTTAGCAATATAGGAAATTATTACAGCTTTAGAAAGCTGCACGGTGTGGCTTAAGTTTGACAAGATGGTCATAATTCTATTCAGGAAAATGTAAGAATGGAGGGCAGATCAGTAAAAGAATCTGAGATGTCTTGTTTGAGTCAAAAATAGGACATAGGGGATGTTACAACTCTCCTTAGGTGAATTTTTCTTAGGCTTTCTATGAGAGATGTGAATTACAGTTAGTCCTCCACTTACAACTGTAATTGAGTCTGGCAATTGCAGTTGTAAGTCATGAAAGTCATAAAGCAGGTCATGAGATGTGTTAAGTACCTTTTATGCAGTCCATCATAACTTTGGATATTTGCTAAGTGACCACTCTAAAGTTAAGGACTACTTGTAGTTGGCTTGTTATTTGGTACAGCCAACAGATCTACGGTAAGTGGTATATATTTTGTGTTTGTATGTGTGACTGCTGAGGCAAATGTTTGAATACAGCTCCTAACCAAGATGAGCATAAGTTGGGGAAGTTTACTGTAGGCTGTATGTAGTGTTGCTGCATGTATGTGTGTGTGTATGAGTGTGAGAATTGTTCTGTTTTTAATTGCTTACGCTAACATATTTAATCTTTCACTTTGCAGATTTCTGACCTTTATAAGAGCCTTCAATATAAAGAGATAAAAATCTTGCAACTATCAGATATGATTAAAAATTGTGAGAGAGAATTCAGACAATTTTCACAGCTATTTTGCAAAAACAGCAACCTGCTGGCAAGCACTCAGGTAAAATAATTCTTTCCTAGTAGCTTCCTTACCTCAGTGGAAAATCAGTGAGAATCTATTTGTGAGGAGATTTTAACTTTGCTATAGCTGATGCATGAGATTTTTAAAAAATTGTTTTTGTTATATATATTCTGAAAACATTGAATAGTTTTAATGTCAGTAATATTTTATTAATGTAGTATGTTTTTTTGTCTTTTCAAATTTGTGTTCTTTTATCAAACTCAGATGTCCTAGTCATATCTCATTAACTGAGATGGTCCTTGATATAAGTCTGTAGCTTATGTCATAAATAAAAAATAGTAATTATGCATCTTATTCCTCTATGGAATGTCAGAATTTCAAAAATGAACCAAATAGTAAACAAACAATTGCCTGCATTTCCAAGGAACTGCTACAGCAAAAAAAATGAGGGAGGAAAAGGCTGGAGGCTCAATTTTCTTAAATCTCCAAAAAGAGTTGTATGAAAGAACAGTCTTGTTCCCATGTCACAATACTATTGTAGAGGGCACAACAGTTAAGAGCAGTTAGAACTTAACACTTCTACCTACTCAACTCATATACGATATTACATTCATAGATCGCCAAGCTATCTGTAGGAGTTCAGGTAAGGAATGCAACACTTTCAGCTTCTTGAATTATTCTTTATTATGCAGAATACTAATACATGTAGGATTTCTATTACATTCTCTCCTTCTGAGATGTAGAGAATTTTTATTTTCACCTAGTTAACATTTTGAACAAAGCTCACGGAAAATGTTGACTAATCTTTTCTGCTGAAAAAAAATTATTTGGAAAGATCCCAGAAGGAAGAAATTTTGTTCCTAATATATTCATTGAAGGTTTAATAAAGATATTAAATAACGCTAGTTGCTATATTTTCATTTTATTTTAAAATCATGTGCCTTCTCTTACCCTCCATCAACAATGCAACTGAAGACTTTGGCCATTCACATTGATAAAAATACCTTCCTGGAAACACAAGTAAGACAGCTGGTACAAAAGACACATCAGCAGCAAAGCAAACTGGACCTGAGAACACTACTGGACACTGTTGATAACCTAAAGCAGAAAGTCGCTCTTCTTGAATCATATGATCAACGTCTAGGTATTATTTTTTCTCATAGATCTGATTGGCAACCCCAAGTAGAAGTCAGTAAAGAGGATCATGCAGATAACAGCTCTCAAACTTTTGCTTTAGTCAGAGACAATTCCCAGTTCTTGAAGTATTTCTTCAGTTTTTGTTGTCTGATTGAGTAATATTGATCTGTCTGTAGATGCAAGGATCCACTTTTGTGCACCTTAAATCAAAGACATAAAAGCCAAAATGGGCTGTGCCCTCTTCTTTACAATAATAGGTTTATCAGTTAACTATATATTAATTCACTTGGGATCAGTCCAACCTAATCAACAGATTTGTTATGGGAAAAACTGCTAGATATTCCCCTTGAGTTCCTGTAGAGATTAGGGATAGACAGGTAACAAAAGAGGACACCATACCCTAACCCCCACTCAATTTCCATGTGTGTGAGAGAGAGGGAGGGAGGATAGATAGCAGGAACAAATAACTCTTTTGTGACTACCGTAAGTAAAATCTGATAATCTTGGATTTGAGTTTACTCTTATTGGTTTCTTTTTCACTAAATATGGGATTGTTCTCTACAATTAAGAATTTTTTTCAGGAGAGACAAATTTTAAGTTGCAGAGCAGTCATATCCATATATAATTAAAAAGGAGAGAAGCTAACTTACTACCAATTCTAAGTAGAGAGTTGGTTTCAATCAATAGAGTAAATTGGGTCTCAAAAAAAGCAAATATTCTTCATACAGAAAATTGTGTGATGGATTCTGAATAACCGATATAAACAATAAGATATTAATTTGGAACATTTATTTTGAAGTAATACAAATGCTGATTTCCAAGTCTATATGTCATTCTCATCCCAACCCCACCCCACCGCCCAAAAAGCCACAAAGAGCAAATCCTGAAATGTACCTCTCTTACACCTCTAGTTGTTCTAGAAGACTTGGCTACCCAACAAGATGCTCTCTTCAAAATGCACAGGGCACAACTTAACAAAAATGAAGAACGGTTCAAGATTTTGGAAGGAGCAAGTTACAATGGAAAATTGATCTGGAAAATTATGGACTATAAAATTAAGAAGAAAGAAGCTATAGAAGGGCACAGCCTCTCCATATTTAGCCAATCTTTTTATACCAGCCACTGTGGATATAGATTATCTGCCAGAGCATATTTAAATGGAGATGGCTCAGGACGAGGAACTCATGTTTCATTGTATTTTGTAGTGATGAGAGGAGAATTTGATTCATTATTACCATGGCCTTTCAAGCAAAAGGTTACACTTATGCTTCTGGATCAAAGTGGAAAGAAAAAACATATATGTGAAACTTTCAAAGCTGATCCTAACAGCAGCAGCTTCAAAAGGCCAGAAGGAGAAATGAATGTGGCTTCTGGGTGTCCTCAGTTTGTTGCACACTCTGTGTTGGAAAATGCAAAAAATACCTACATCAAAGATGATACACTCTTTCTGAAAGTAATGGTAGATTTGACTGATCTTGAGGAATTGTGAAAGCACCCATTGTAAAACAGAGTGAACACTTGCATGCTGTCTGGATTCTTTCAAATCTATGAAAGCTGTTCTGTGGTCTACCAAGCTGTTTTTTGTAATTTTGAGACTGTTCTATTTTTGTAGTTTTAAAATGTTGTCTTAATAAAACATGTTCATGGTTCAGAGTGAATTATAAACATCCAGCAAAATTTGATATTGTGATTATTATTATGCTCTATTACTGTTTTAATGTAATGACTGAGAAAGCTTTAAATGGTTGATTATGTGGCATCAAGTCAGTGTTGACTCTTCGTGACTACATATATCTTATCCAGGACAATCTGAGCTCAACCAGATTCAAGTTTCGCAATGATGTGCCACTGTTTCTCAGTGCAACAGCATACCTCCAGTCCATCACATTCTGGTTGACAATTAGATATTAACAAAATGATCCTTTTGAAATAAACCAGATACTAAACATCTCTACTATTTACTCCATACTCTCTATTCTCTGACCAACATCATTTGAAACCAAACTCAATTAACAGCTATGAAGAATGGAAACATATTTTCTGGTGCCTTCAGAATTCATTATTTTCAAGCTGATCCTTCATAAGTCATATTTTTCGTAGCCCAATGCGAAAGTACAGATTTAATGCATACATCCTTTCATTTTTTAAATGGAACCCATTTAAAACAATTGTCCCAATTTAGATCATTTTTGCCTGCAAGAAAAATCCATTTTCAGTAGCATATCCACTAATTTTTAGTGCCTTCAAGATAGGGATCTGCACGGAGATCACATCCCATGCATTGTCACGAATTTGAAGATTTGCACTAACCTGGTGCTAAAATACGGAACCTAATTTTTATGCCAAACCCTGCTAAAGATGGCAATGCATAGGATCAATGCTTCTCTACATCCGGCTTGTAATCACATTGCCCCTGACTTACTGCTAGCTTAATTGGGTTTATTCAAATCCAGTTTCCTGAATTCATAAGACATCGAGCCCTATTCATAAGCGAGCCTAAAAGGTGAGTGAGGACAGTAAGAATAGTTTGTGGTTCGCCATCTCCTTCAAGCACAGTCCAAGCTGCTTAGGACGAATGCAAACGCCTCTCACTCTCCGCTATGCGCTTCTTTCGAAACTGCCGAGAAGCGGCGGGAAACGTAGCCCCATGGTATTCGCTTACAATCATTTCCGGGATGTGGGCGCCGGCCTCGTTCCGACAGGCGGCAGAGCTCAAGATTGTGGTTCCGGGTTCCTGGAGATCACGGGGCCGCAGCGGGTGTATTTCGTAAATCGCTGCCGCCTTCGCCTCCGCTGTCTTCCAGAAACCCCTCTTGAGAGTAGCCGGTGGTGAAGTTGTAGGTGGGTTTCTCAGGATTGCTGGACAAGTTCGTGTGCGTCTCGGTCTTCTTGCCTAGTTCTGGGGACGCGTAATTCGCAAACATAATCCTAAGCGTTACGAGCGCCGTCTTCCTTTTTGAAACGGCGACGGGAGTGCAAATAAACCCGAGAGACTCTGGGTTGTGAGGTTGCGAGGAAAAGCTTGGGTGGGGGGTCTGGGGTGGGAAGAGAGAAATCGCACGTCTACTTGTAAGCCGGAGCCTTTAGAGACGCCCCGGATGAACTGAATTCGCAGGGTTTGCCACGACCATACTGATATTTCCATGTAATCGGTTACAGTCATCGTTTCTCCTTTTGTAAATAAAGGATAGATACAACCGACTTTTCCATGCACCTGCATTGGGAATATTTTTTTCCTTTAAAAGAAAAAAAGTAAAAACAGCGGAGACGCATAATTCCTAAAAGAGATTTATTACAGTATAAGCGGTTGTGATTTGTGCTATTTAGAAAAATATGCTTACCTTGCTTGTATATATTGGGGTTTACTGCATCATTTTCTGCCTTAACATGACACAGTGAAGCATAATGAAATATACAGACTGGGTTTCTACACCGACTAAAATTGGTTAATTTATTGCTTAGTGAACCATACAAAAACAGATTGCATTCTATCTCTGTCTTCCCTGCGGTTCAGCTTTGACAATTTAAAACTAAGGCTTTTTCTTTGTTTCTTTGGAAAACAATAGTCCGTGCTCCTTCACAGGAATCTATTCTTCTGTAGTTTTTTGTTCTCACCTTTTAATTTTCTGATTTCAATCAACAATCTTCTGACAAAATCTTAACTTCTGTATATAATGGGTCCTTTATTTATTTAATGTTTAACTGATTCTTCATAAAATGTAATAGAAAATGTTCATAAAGTAGCATATGTATTGACTGATTGATTAAACAAATAAGACTAAAGGCAACACTTTATGAATGTGACAACTCTGTAGCCTTTAATGAAAAACTACCTAAGGAATAGGCTTAGGGTTTTTGGTACTGCTGTTTTGATTTTGCTATGATAGATTGATATGGCTATTGGAAGTACTTGGCATTATGATTCAAAATAAATTCCCACAACACAATGTGGTTAATTAGTTTATAGTTTGATCTCATGTAATGTCAATGACTTTTGTTTACAATTTGTACTTTGTGAACTTAACAAAGTAGTAACAAAACCATTGTGAGCTAAATCATGTTAAGTACTAATGTACACTTGGTAAAAATTGTAGAGCGAACCTATAAGTATTTGGCTTATGTATAAGTTCCCAAAATTGGAATTGAAGTATGCATTAAGGAGTATTTAATTTGTGCTACTGTAAATTTTTATAAACTCTTATTAAAGATTCATGCCAAATTGCCTTATGTGATATGAAGCCACTTTTCAGAAGCCTTCTCCTTAAATTGACTATTCTATTATGATAGCAGATTTGTCCTATGTAGAAGCCTATGAAGTTATAATAATAATAAAGTTGGAAGGGACCTTGAGGTCATCTAGTGCAGCCCCCTGCTCAGGCAGGAAACCCTATACCATTTCAGACAAATGGCTGTCCAGTCTCTTAAAAACTCAGCTGATTATCACTTTGAAGAATTACCGGTAGATTACATGTGCATATGTGTAACTATATTACTGCATTAACCCAGTTTTCTGAGTTCTCATGACAAACAGAATAGTAAATTAACCAAATTATGTATGTATAATTAGCCTAAAATGTAATTGGTTAGCTTGTGATTTACTGTGTTATGAAAAGATAGACATAAATTTAAAGCAGTGTAGAGTCAGGACCACAAGCAAGTGCATTGATGGTCTGTTAGAATAATTAGTGTTGTTACATAAGAATTTGATGCTTCCTACAAGTATTATGTTGAAGCTGGCCTTTAAGGAAACTCTACAGATTATAATTCAGCAACAGAGTGTATTGGTATTAGAAATAGGCAGTGGAAGTTAACAGGTCATTTTCATTTCTTTAGGAAAAATAATATTTGCAATTTTGTGATTATATGATTTATATAATATCTCACAGATATGGATGACCACCATGAAGCAAAAGATGAGATACGGTGTGCAACATCACAAGAGAAAACAAAAGTCAGAGGTAAGAATGATTGTTGTCCCTTTAATAGTAGCATCAATAAATATATTGGAATTTTGATTCCGGTACAAACTGAACATTACAAGAGATGGATTTTTTAGTACCGGTAATTCTTTTTTAAAAAAAATCTAAAGTTGATAATGTAGAATCAATTTCCCATTTTCAAAGCTTCAATATTCAAAAATAAGCTTAAATTATTTTAAATGTAAAACTGATTGTAACGTGAAGTAATATTGATGTCTGGAAGTATTGTAGCACATAATACAGCAGTTTTGCTGAAGCTAACCTGGTCTGGTTCAGATAAGATAGGAATGTTGCTTTTAATATTGGCGTTACTGTTTTCCTTTTATTTGTTTTAATGTTTTAATGCACCATGTGTTGCCTAGAGTTAATGAGTGATTAAAGTGAAATAACACATTTTTTAAGAAATTAGGATCTAAATATATTGTATATCAATTGCTATTCTGTGCTTGTATTCTAGATGGAAAAAAGGCAGAATGTGCTAAATAAATCCATGTATTTATTTGCTTATTTTTATTTAATTATTACTTATTTAATGTATGTTTCAGTCATTCAGTACTCAAAATAGCTGACAAGCATTTAAAGGAGTACCTAACACTAATGCTACTCAACATGTGAAAAGGGAATTCTAATCAGTCTTCCTGTACTTTTTGTTTCTTTAGAGGAAAGTAAAAGGAAACGGAAGCGAAGCAGAAGCAGATCCTCCTCCGTCTCTTCCTCTACATCTTCTAGTTCTTCTACATCCTCTTCTTCAAGGTCTTCTTCCAGGTCTTCTGCCTCACAGAGCAGAAGCAGTTCAAGTAGCAGAGGTAGGATTATTTTGTTAGAATTATGAAATTCATTTTGTAGATGGTGCCTTAGATGTTATATAGCCAATAACAGTTATTGATCTAGCAGAAGTAAATACAAGTGGTCCTCCCTAGATATCCATTTATTTAGCCACTGTTGGAAGTTACTGAAAACCTGAACTTATGACTAGTCTTCAAAGTCCTGGCTATTGCAGTGCTCCCACGGCCATATGAACAACATTCAGGCCCACTTGCATTTAGGACCACCCTTCCTGCTGTTGCCACACATACACGCATCCCTAACAGACAGTCATCTTTTCCTGCCACTCACCACTCTGGCTATGCACAGAGTAGGCACTGTGAAAATAACCTACAGAATGATAACTGAGAGCAGACAGGTGTGCATCATACACCACTAAGAGCTTCATGCTAGTGCAAAAGAAGGCAAGCGTGAAAGAAGGTTCTGGCCAGCACACAAAGCCAGCAAAAGAAAGCAGGATTAGCAGATACGTGAAAGGCAGGGCAGCAGCATGAAGGTAGCAGCCAAAAGGGAAGAGCTCGGGAGAAGATAGGTGGATGAGCGGAGTTGCAGTAGTTCTTTAGTTTCTTCCAAGAATGGCTTGGATCCAGGTGGGTCCTCACCTAATGACCGTATGGGATTCACTCAGTGACAGCAACTGGGATTGCCAGAATTGTTGTTGCTTAGCCATGTAGTCACGTGATACTCGCTTAGCGATTGGGCCGCTCGCTTAATCTTGGAGTTGCCAGTCCCAATTAGAATGGTTGAAGACTACCAGTAATGGATTTTTCACGAAAATATTCAAAAGTTGAGATTAAAAATGAAATATAAATATTTGTTATAATGAAATAATGCCAATATATTGAAGGGTACTGGTAAGTACTGTAGAAAATCAAGTAATATGGTGAGTTTATGTAATTCATCTGACATTGCTGCTAGCAGCGGCCATTCACTTTAAATGGACTTTATGGGGAAATATCACCTAACCCTCCATGACTTAAGCAGCATTTTCCATTATATCCTTGGGGAATCAATAATCCAATCCATTACCCTAGGATAGTAATTACTTCTAATTGGGTGGAACAGTTTCAACAAATCATTATGACAGTGATTTTCATAGTAATGTGTAGTTCTTTATCTAGTTACAATGACAAAGTGGAGGAATATCTGTATATGCAGCCCACTCCTTCACATATCACAGAATATTCCAAAATTATTGTTTATTTTTTAATATATACATCATGCCTCTCCTTCAGAAGCTTGAGCCAATGTGCATAATGCTTCCTTCTGTAATTCTTTTCCACAAGAAGAAATCTATGAGGTTAGGGTAGACTTAAAAATAATAGCTGGCTAAATTTCAGGAATTAAGTTTCCACAGCCAACTAAGGATTTGAATCTAGGTCTCCTCACACTGATGGCCCAACATACTAATAATTATATTACATATACTTAAAAGTTTTCGTTTTCTTTCCTTCTTTTTCTGGAAAGGAAACATACACATAAACATGCAAATGCAACAGACTTCAAACATAAAAATTCATGTAAATAGAAGACCAAATTATGTTAATCACTGATCCTACATTACCCAGATTTGTTCAAAACAAATCGTCATTTTGTAAATTATCAAAAATAATAAAAAAGCTTACCTTCCATTTTATGGCAAGCACATATGTATTAGTATCCAAATAATAAAATTCCTAAAAATTGTGTATTTCAATTTTAGTGACAAATCTATTTAATGTTGTTCAAGCCTTAATATGCATTTATGACATTTTTAATGCTTAGATTCTTCAAAAGTAAAAGCTAAGAAGAGGAAAAAGGAAAAACATAACAAAAAGGTAAAACTAAAATTACTAAAAGTATGAAGTAAAAATATGAACAGTACTGTCATGTGCACATGATTCACAGGAAAAGCAGTTATGTCCCGTATTAGTTATATCAAAATTATCATTTCTACTTTTGCACTCAAGCAAAGTATTAATCATGCTGCTTTGGAGCAACTCCCCCTTAACAGATGTTGACAACATCAATGGGGCAGGCTTTTTTCTCTCTTTCAATCTTCCCCAACAGCTGTGATCATCAGTTTGGTCACTTTGAGCCCTGGTGGCACAGTGGCTAGAATGCAGTATTGCAGGCTAACTCTGCCCACTGCCAGGAGTTCAATCATGACTGGTTCAAGGTTGACTCAGCTTTCCATCCTTCCAAGGTCAGTAAAATGAGGACCCAGATAGTTGGGGGCAATATTCTGACTTTGTAAGCCACTTAGAGGGGGCTGTAAAAGCACTATAAAGCGGTACATAAATCTAAGTGCTATTGCTACTGCTATAGCTATTGGTCTTATGATGGTTATTTGCTTTTCAGTTGACTCAGTGATGTACTTGCATAACCAAATTCATGGGAACAGTATTTCATTATTCAGTCAGTACCTCAATTACGTTGACTGAAGTTATTCACATATATAAGTTGCATACCTTTTGTAATAAGCATCTGGCATTGACAGTGTACTTGGCAAGGCCTCTGGAAAAGAGTTTCTTGCTGCAATGTATCATGAGAGACAAAGGAAGTTCCATATGTTATGAATATCATAAAAAGGTTACCTTTAATTCCTAAGTCACAGTTAAAAAAGCTTGTCTGGGAAGATGTTGAGCACCAAACTGGTATCATATTATTATTTCTTATAGATTGAGAGATTTAAGGACCCCAGTTAATTTTTCATTTGTTAAATTTATATTATTTTTGTTCAGGAGCTAAAGGTAGCATGCATATTGTTCTCTTCTATTTTTTTCCCATAACAATCCTCTGAAGCAGGTTGGGCTGACTGGTTCAAAGCCACTTACCCTTTGTTCTTTCTCATTTTGGAACAAATCACAGTGCCAGAAAGAGCCTGGAAAGCATATCAAGGGACTACAAGAAACTAGGCAGGAAAGCAAAACAGTTTGTAGTAAAGGTGATGTGTTCATCAGTGAATTCAACTAAAGGTTTTATCCTAAAGAAGGAATGAAAGATTCTAGAGGTGAACTGCTGGTTTGAAGAAAATTGCCATCATGAAAACCTGAACGATCTACAGGAAGGCCTGTACCTTGCAAAGACTGGGAAAAATGGAAGAGAGCTTTTATTTAAATTTGGAGGAGGGTGGTCTAAGGGAAGACATGATACTTGAAGGCTGTCACAGGAAGGAGAATGTGAATTTATTCTTCTTAGTGCCCGAAGGTAGATCAAGAACCAGTGAGTGGAAGTTTTACTAGTTTGGAATAAATCTTTTGGAGATTCAAACTAGAAATAAGGAGGAATTTCCTGACCACCTAACTCCTGGAATCCAGGAGTGCTGTATCCCTCAAGGTTTTCAAAAAAAGGTTGGACAGCTATTTATTTGGAATATCTGAGGATTTCTGGCCTAGGCTATAGGTTGAACAAGAAGACTTCTAAGGTAACTTCCAGATCTTTGATAAATCATCTAGTGTGCTCTGTGATTGAGGGTTGATTTGAACCTCCTTGTGACCAGTCCTTCATTTTAACCACTGTACCATACACTTTGATAGGATGGATAATTGATTTATTAACTCATATATTAACTCTAGAAGTTAATGTGAATATGTTTGAGTTTTCCATGGTCCCTTTCTAATATAAACTTTATATTAACAATATTATTCTCATAGTCAAGTTGCCCCCTTTTTTTTAATTGAGGAGAACATCTAAATTGATACAAGTGGGTGATAGGCATTTAGATTTTGGGCCAGGATAATTGTCAGGTTCCTTCCCAACCAAGTCCTGATGTGCTGCCACATCCTGGCAGGGGGGGTGTTTCTGAAGGATTAGCAACAAACATTGAGAGCTTATCCCAGGAGTATAGCAGGGTCACTCAAGGCATGAAGGGCTGCCCAGGTAAAGAAGCAAGCACCTATATTGAGGAGCAGTGGTATAAAAAAAAATGCTAGAGGCAGATTATCACTTTTGTGACAATAGAAAAGAAATCAATTCATACAGCATAGGACAGTGATGGCAAACCTTTTAGAGACCGAGTGCCCAAACTGCAACCCAAAACCCACTTATGCATCGTCGGGTGCCGGATAGGTGTGGCCCCTTGGGTGGGCGTGGCTGCGGTGGTAACAGCAGACTGGATGGGACTAAAAAGTTCAATCAACCAATTCCAACTTTGCAAGATCTTTTTTTTTCCCGCGAGAAGTTGAAATTGACTGATTGAACCTTTTTTTTTTTTGTACACAGCGGTGGAGGCCTAAAGTGAAAAGGTTTTATAAAACCCAGCTGAAGGCCTAGGGCTGGGGCGACGGCGTGCGTACCCACAGAGAGGACTTTGCGTGCTGCCTCTGGCACCCGTGCCATAGGTTCGCCACCACTGGCATAGGACAAGGCAGTGGAAAACCACTTATGTATTTTTACCAAAAAAACCACAGGGATAAGCAATGATATTCCCTATGGAAGCAAAAGTTGGACTTTGAAGAAGCAGGATTGGAAGAGTATTAGTGCTTATGAACATTAGTGTTTGAGACGACTACTGAGAATATTATGGACAACCAAGAAAACAGATTATTGAACAAATCAACCCAGAGTTCTCACTCAAGGCACAAATCAGCAAGCTCAGATTATCCTACTTCAGAGACAGTATGTAAAGACCCATTTCTCTAGAGAAGACTCTGATACTGGGAAAAGTCAAAAGAAAGAGAAGAGTGCCACCAGCAACAAGGTGTATGGACTCAGTTGAATGACAAGGAATGCAGTGATTGACGAGTTGAAGGCCAGGTTAAGGACAGATTGTCAAGGAAAAAATCTATACTGTATGTGGTTGCAAAGAGTCAAAACTAACTTGGTGACACATAATCAAATTTTAAGATATCTGTTTATTTTTTATTAGAAAAGAAAAAAAGAGAAGATGAAAAGAAAGAAAGAAAAGAAGAGAAAGAAAGAGAAATCAGGTCCTGTACAGCTTTCTAAAGTAAGTGCAAAAACTGAATGGAAAAGTCTGTGTTTTTCCTCTTCTCAGAATTAGACAATCTGTGAAAAGTGATTGGAATGACTTTGATTAACTGTTTTCTATAATTCTCAGATTATGTCTTAACTATAATGCTATTTCATGGTTATCTTTTCTTCTTTTCTTTCCTTATATTTTCTTTCCTTGCATATTTCTCCAAGTAATCAAGGATGGCACATTTGAATCTCCCACCCATCCCCTTTTAGCTTTCAAAACTAATTAAGAGTTTAGGTAGTTAGACTTAATCAGTAATGATTGACGCAAAGTCCATCAGTGAACTTCTAAACTAGAGATTTCAATCCAATTTTGTAAATCCAACTTTGACACTCTAAACATATCACCAGAGTGTCAGCTATGATAAAACAGAATGAATTTCAATAGAAAGAATGACCAGATTGACATCAGGAAAGCAAGAGTATAATGTCACTTGCTATTAGCTTTGAGCTAGTGATTTTAATTTTTATTCCAGTGATAGTTAACTTATTAATTATAGACTATGGAAATGAGTTATGCCTAATTAAATAGATACCATAAAAGTACTTCCGCACTTGGTATTTAGATAATGGGAATAAAATTAACAAAGTCAGGGGATACCAAGTTTCCTATCTCTATCCTGGACTACCCTTAGATCCCCTGTTTTTTTCTATCATTTGAACATTGTTTTGGAAAGTTCTAATTCTGTGATTATTGAGAGAGCAGGACCATATTTGATCTAAGTCAAGGATCAAGTTAGCTCTTTTGAGGAGGGAGAGAGATCTACTTTGGGAGCTGGAGTTCTGATGATAGAATAACCTTCTAAGATCCTGTGGAAATCTGAAATATTTGCCTCTGCTATAATGGAACTTGGGGAAGCAAAAAGGTGAAGAATTAAAAGGCTCAAGATTACCCTTGTCAACCCTTGTGTTTTGTCCAAAAGTGTATATGGGAAATTAAGATCAGCAATGGAATATAAGTAGTTCTCTTTGCGTAAAACTTAACCCTGATAACTTCAAAGGTATATCCATACTTTTTTGGCAACAGTATTGAAGTAATCTACCACTATTTCTTTTCAACTTATTATTTATTAATATCATAATTTTTGTGCCACCAAATTTCATACATCTGAAGTAGTATACAAAAATTTGCCTGGGCTGTAACCCTGGTGTTTCCTCATTTTACCCACCCAAGAACTAACCAGCTGGGACTTTGCTTAGGCTTCTAAGATCAACCAAAGTTAATAAGTTCAAGTTCTTCATTTTTTTTTCCAGTGGTGCAAAAAAAAGAAGAGAAAAAGAATTAAAATGCTGCTCTTTCTCTTTTTTCTTTTTCCTACTGTTGGGAGCCATCATTGATTGCTTTGCCTGAGGCAGTTCTTCTGTGTTCAGATAGAATTTGTCTACCAATTTAATTATTTGTGAGCATAAATCATTATTTTTATTGGTTTCATTTACATGCCAGAAGGCTTTCTTAATGGTGACAATATTTGCTAGCACTATGTGTTTCGGTATATGGGACTAATAGGACATCCATGTCAACTGAGTGAACATGCAGGTTGGGACTCTGGCTTTATCCAACCCAAAGAAAATGGAAGAAAAAAGCTAAAATATACTTTTTAGTAGATCGTGGCTTTATATTACAGTTTAATTCTTTCAAGAAAAGTCATGGTCCTATAAAGACCATAATTTTGGCTAACAAAGCCACAGATAGATAAAGATAAGGATGATAGAGATAGATGGATGGATGGATGGATGGATGGATGGATGGATGGATGGATAGATGGATAGATAGATAGATAGATAGATAGATAGATAGATAGATAGATAGATAGATAGATAGATAGATAGATAGATAGATAGATAGATAGATAGATAGATAGATAGATATGCTTAATATGCTTTACTTTCCATTTCTCAAATTTATTTGAAATTTTGGCTAAGATCAGGCAACTAAGCAAAAAAAAAAGCAAGCAGGAGAATTCTGTTCCTATGAGAAAAAAAATCTCTTCCCTGTTTTTTAAGTTGTTTCCTTGGGAACAGTGTTTTTTCGTTTGGGGAACATAGTGTAGCTTTGGTTTCTGTTCTTTTAATCAAGTTTTATTCAGCCCAAATTCACACTTCCTTGTGATTGCTGTGACACTAAAAAGGGAAATGTAATTTATACGTCCTTATTGATGTAATTTAAAATGTACATTTTATTTATAGATCACAATATTGTATTGTTTTAGTATCTCAAAGATAAAAAGAAGAATCATAACTACAGTATGATCACAGGAAAGAAAATTAAGATGAAAATAAAGAAAAGTAAAAAGGATAAAGAGGTACTCTTTCACATCAACCTGTTTAATGTTTAAAATTTTAAACATTTAAAATGTTTACAAATGGTGTTATCTGCATTTATAATGCATTAGCATTTAGGGTGTTCAGTAATTCAGTAATGATCCAAAAATAGAGATCATTTCTATATTGTTTCTTATATGTTCCATCTAAAACGTTGGAACTCCAACACCTTTAAATCTGGAAAATAATGACCTCTGAAAAATAAACATCAGTCCTATGTAATTGGGCTACTTAAAAAATAGGCAAGACTATATATGCTTATAACTTAAAACAACTATTTCTAACCTTCAGACCCACACACAAATTTACAAAATGTTGATGCCATTGAAATTTGAAGTGTTGAGTCAACAAGTATCAGAGTAAAGGCAGCAATACAAGTCTATTACTTAATACTGAAATATCTGGTTATGAGCAGGAGATACGGAATGTGATTTGCAAATCCCCCGTTGGAACAAAATAAAGGAACACAATGGAAACTCATTTTTAGAGTTGACACTAGTCTTCTCAAGGTCATATCATGGAATTGGTCAACTTTAGTTACATTAACCTTATGTCTTCTGTTAATTGTTTGGCTTGTGGACCATCATATCTATCTTTATTACCTTAGACTATTAAAGATTGCAAGAAATATTTATTTAGAATATCTCTTACAGTCTTAACTATGCAGTTTCCACAGTGGTTCCTCCCTCTCATATATAGCTATAAGGGCTGACTGCTGTCCTTGACACTAAAAAAAAGCTAGAGGGGACAAGGGAAAGGGTACTTTAACTCCACATGAAAAGATCTAAACAGACCTACAGAAGTTCTGCCAGGGTTGTCTGGAGACCTCATTGTAAAGCAGGAATAGAGAGCTTCCACACTGTGTCTATAGAAGCTTCCCTCAGAAGAACTCCATGCCTTCCAGAAAAGTATTTCTTGTACATTATTCTGTGCAGAAGGACAAAAATGGAGCTGTTTTTGCAGAAGAAAAGGTAGAGAATAGTCATTCCCCTTCTCTTCCTAAGAGGGGGGGAAGGGGCAGGGAGGCCCTTGTTCAAATGTCAAGGAGTGCCCTCTGTTGAAAATACTGTATGGTCCACAGAAGTATATGGAATAAGAGAAACTGGGCACAAATTCAGTATCCCTTGCCTTTCTTAGGAGATGAGATAAAATATGCTAAACATCCAAGTGTTTATTTATTAAATATATACTGGTTGTATATCATTTCCAGTTTGTAATTTGCAACATTATGTAAGTGCATACAATTTTAGGAATACTAATTTGCCCTTGCTATCCTAGAAGCAAAGTCATAGTATCTATTACAATTTCTTAGCTTAATTTATTCCTCACATGCAGCAGTTAAAACTTATTTATGTACCTGGCAGTTTTTAAGAAGAGACTGGACAGCCATTTGTCTGAAATGGTATAGGGTTTCCTGCCTGAGCGGGGGGTTGGACTAGATGACCTCCAAGGTCCCTTCCAACTTTATTATTATTATTACCTATGAATGACTGGGCAGCAGAATAATCTGAAAATAGTAATGGGGGTACAATTTATTGGGGATAGTCTTTGAAAATGATCTGGAAAATGGATTTTTGATCACTTAAAATTATGTTTTTAATGACTGTTTTTTTTTTCAGCGAGATCGGAACCGAGCAGAACTTCTTGATTTTTTGAACTCTACTTTTTAGTGAAAAAGCTGTTAAATGAGGACCAATAAGTCTGTCAGCTTATTTAGTCATCTTACTCCTTAAAGCACCAAATACAAGCTCAGGGTGAAGCACGAAAGAACATCTTGATGCATGAGGAGTTGAAATTGCCCCACTATGAAGATAATTGACAGCTCCTTTAAAAAGGGCAAAATAATTGGTGACACTTTATCAACAAAGAGCCATATTGATGTTGAAGAGAACCTAACCAAACTAGGATGAAGGCATAACCATCCATTAAAGTGAAAGGATGTGTTGGAATTTCGGCCTACTTTGAATATCCAAATTGCATGCAGAATGCGACTTTATCATCAGTTGTCCTTGGTCATTTTTCTGATTAAAACCAAATATTAGCAAAGAAGTTCTTAAAGAAGAATCAGACCCATGTATATAGATATTTTTAGTATTGAGAATATTTGCAAACAGCAAAATACCTCCTTCTGAGTAATGTACATTCTAAAGCATTGAGTAAGATTTTTTAAAATAATTTTCTTTTGTAAAGTGTTTCCTTTTTCAAGTTAATAACAAACACTCTAATTTCAGTTTATTTAATGAGGTGCTAGGCATTTCATTTTAAAACTCTGGGTGGTACCACTGTTAAATGAACATTATGAAATTAGCTTACTGCCCACTGCTGCTTGGTTTTGTTCTTACTTTGGGTATGATTAACATTGATCAGTATTGTGGCCTTTCTTTCAGAGAGGCATGTATCAAAGTCCACATTATGAAAATCTCAGTGGGCTATCAATTTCAGTTGAGTGTAATGGTATGGCTAACAGACTGCTCAGAAGACTGGTTGTGGTATATAACCTCACAGTGTGTGAAGTTTCATTTTGTAAGAAAAATCCAATAAAATGTACTGCTTTTGAATTTGATGTAAATTGTTTTAGTGAAATATTAACAGAAACCCTAGGGCCGTGGTGGCGAACCTATGGCACGCGTGCCACAGGTGGCACACAGAGCCCTCTCTGCGGGCACACGCACCATTGCCTCACTCCTAGGACTTCAGCTGGGTTTTATAAAACCTTTTTGCTTTAGGCCTCCGCCGCTGTGTGCAAAAAAAAATGGTTCAATCAATCAATTTCAACTCCCGGGGGGAAAAAAAATCTCAAAGTTGGAATTGATTGATTGAACATTTTAGTCCCACCCAGTCTGCTGTTACCACCGCAGCCACGCCCACCCAATGGGCCACGCCCACCCGGCACCCGACGATACATAAGTGGGTTTTGGGTTGCAGTTTGGGCACTCGGTCTCTAAAAGATTTGCCATCACTGCCCTAGGGTTAGAATGATGCTGTGGAGAACTACAGCTGCTACATAGTTTTTTCTTTCCCCAAAACACTTAATAAGAAAAATGTCTAGCGACTTACGGCTTGTCTTCATTTTTGCATTTTTTATATTGCACTCTTAGGTGGCTTGTTTAGTACAAAAAAACCTAAAACACTAACAATACATTTACAGTTTAAAACAATTTATTGAACTAATTCTAAATAATTAAGAATTGTTTACTTTATCAATAATTAAAACATAGTTATTATTCACTCTCCAAATGGTCATTGAAAGAACTTCGTCGGTTTTTTAAATATAATCAAGGTTGGGGACACCTGGATCTCAGGTTGGGGGAAGAGATAATTCCACAGATGGAATAGCTGCCAGGAATGTCTGCTTCCAAGTTCCTTTCCCCTAACTTTTTAAAGAGGGGACTCAGCATTGTTTTTGGATTGCTTGGATGGCAGAGGCAGATTCTGTTTGGGGAGATGGTTCATTATGCAACCTAAACCCAAGCCATCTATGGCTTTTTAGATCATTATCACCCTCTTTAATTTGAACCAGGAACCTATCAGCAGTGCTTGTAATATTAGTGTTACACTGTTGAAACAGCTCTCACCCACTTACTTATTCTGAGCAGTTTCTGGGTAGTGTTCAAAGTCATGACTAAGAAGAGTGCATTGTAGAAATGCAGTCATAAAGTAAGGGTGGTGGTGAGTGATTGGGTAAGGACACATCCTTTATATCTGTATCGTCCCAAATCAGTGGATGACCTCCTTCAATGGTTTAATATAGATTATGAATCAGACGGGGAAAAGAAGGAGCAGAACTCTGAGCCACCCATTGAATCAGTGGCCAAGAGCTAAATTGCTCTCCATCTCTATTGCAAAAGAGTGCTTCCAACTCTTCACCCTCACATGTATTCCAGCCTGACCCCTTGGTTGCTGGTATCAGATGCTGCTGAGGGATCTAATAGAACCAGAAGGTAACACGCTAACCAGATCCTGATAGAGATCATTGAAAAACTAATATAGTTTCTGTGCCATAACTGGGTCTAAACTCTGATTGCAAACAATCCAGAGAATGTAGCTTTTCCAGGGCCTATTGGAATTGCAGCCCCAACATCTCTAAAGGAGGGCATGGATTGTCTCAAGTCCTATTTATTCAACTGTCTGCCCTAAAGAGCCAACAGAAGGCATAGATCCAGATCAAATGTGGCAGAGCATATGCTGCTAATCACTCCACTTTCTTAGAGTCCACAAGATCAGAAGAATTCCATGTAGGCTTGCAGGAAGTTGTCCAAGTAATTTCATTTGATTCTGCTAAGCTGGAGATAGGATCTGAGCAAATACAAATTAATTTATCTGCGAAACGTTTTGCAAGCCTAACAGCAATGTGTACATTGGGAACCCATTTTGCCCCAGTCGGGTGCAGATTGCATTGAAGAGTACTGCTAGATGTCAGTCTACGGATGCAATGAAGTTCCAATAATGGTTGCCATGTGGGAGGGAAAGTGGAATGTATTTATTTGTGATAGCAATGTTTATAGTCTCCTACTTGTGCATGATTCTGGCACCCAATAAAAGCAGTGTAGCAATTAAAAGAGGAATAAAACAGCCATCCAGGGAAAGGAAACAATTCAAATTAGTAGAACTCATTCTCAACGGTAGGTGTACATAGTGTCCTAGTCTAGTATTCATGGAAAGAGACAGGCTTTCAAGGCAAGGTCAGAGTTCTGTGGATTTCATAGGCTCTACAAGTGACCCTGCTTAGTAGGACTCGAAGCATGCCAATTCTGTTTATTACTCATTTATTAAATGTATATACCGCCCATTTCACTTTAAAAAAGGATTATTGGATTTCACTGAACAGAAACACAACAGAAGGCAGACAGGCCCACAACTCCAGAACTTGATCCACATGGGGCTTATAGATGACAATCAGTACTTTAAATTGCATTTGGAAGCTCTGATTGACCACTGGAGCAATATGCATGCTGAAATTAATGGAACAGAACAGAACAGAACAGAATAGAATAGAATAGAATAGAATAGAATAGAATAGAATAGAATAGAATAGAATAGAGCTGGAAGGGACCTTGGAGGTCTTCTAGTTCATCCCCCAGCTCAAGCAGGAGAACCTATACCATTTCAGACAGGTGCCTGTCCAGTCTCGTCTTAAAAACATCCAGTGATGGAGCACCCACGATTTCTGAAGGCAAGCTGTTCCACTGGTTAATTGTCCTCACTGTTAGGAAGTTTCTCCTTAATTCCAGGTTGCTTCTCTCTTTGGTTAGTTTCCAACCATTGTTCCTTGTTCTGCCCTCTGGTGCTTTGGAAAATAGTTTTGATTCTTTGTGGCAGTCCCTCAAATACAGGAATACTGCTATCATGTTGCCCGTTTTTTCTTTTAGACAGCCAAACCCAAGTCCTGCAGCCGTTCTTCATATGTTTTAGTCGCCAGGCCTTTGATCATTTTAGTTGCACTTCTTTGAACTTTTCCCAAGGTCTCAACATCTGTTTTGTAGTATGGTGACCAAAATTGGTTGCAGTATTCCAGGTGTGGTCTTACTAGGGTTTTATAAAGCAGTACTAATATTTCGCGTGATCTTGATTCTATGCCTCTGGTTTATACAACCCAGGATTGTATTAGCTCTTTTGGCTGCTGCTGCACACTGCTGGTTCATAGTCAAGCGATCATCCACTAGGACTCCAAGGTTCCTCTCACAGTTACTGTTTTGAGCCAGGTCTCGCTGTACTTAATCTGTACTTAAACGTTTGATTTTTTTCCTGCCTAAATGTAAAACTTTGCTTTTCTCCACTGTTCTCCATTGTTTAAGTTTGTCAAGATCTTTTTAGATCCTGAGCTTGTCTTCTGGGGTGTTTGTTATTCCTGCCACTTTAGTGTTATCTGCAAATTTGATGAGTTCCCCTTCTATTCCCTCACGTAAGTCATTAATGAAAATATTGGAGAGTACTGGGTCTAAAACAGAGCCTTGTGGTACCCCACTGCTTACTTCTCTCCATGTGGATGTAGTACCATTGAGGACTACTCGCCAAGTATGGTTTGTCAGCCAGCTACAGATCCATCTGATGGTGTTGTTGTCTATCCCATTTGGTTGATCCAATAGTTTTCTTAATGTTTTTATTTTATGATTTGCCTGGATAATATGTAATTGATGGAATAATGATTATAATACATAGTAAGCTGTTGCTGTCCCTAGGATTTGACTCAGTTGGTTGCAAGATTCACGCTTTGCGTTGTTCTTGCTTCAATTATCAGTGCACGATGCAGTTATTTTTCTGTTGGCTTGTTACAAAGTCCGATTAGTGTGAGAAGGAAGGACTGAGTCAAGGTCACCTAACTGCCTTCCCTGTGACTAGAACATGGGTTTCCCTACTCTTAATTAGACCCATAACTACTACAACATACTGGCTATTCACAATTCAAACCAGGTATAGTGCAAAAGTAACAGCTCAGAGTTGAGCTTGGCTCCTGCTGCCATGAACTCTGCAATAGTATGATAAAAGCCAATTTCTTCCAGGATATCTCAAGTTTGATGCAACCCTTAAGTAACACCAGAGGGCACCCTGTCCACCTGTAAATTGACCAAGGATTGATAATCAACATGAAGGAATTTAAAAACCATACAGTATCTTATTATTCACTGCCAATTCCAGCCGTTAGAGCAAAATATTGAGAGAGACTGTTTAAGTACTTATTTATACAGAATTGGTAATGAATTTATTTCTGTATGATGCATCCAATATATTTAGAACATGCATTTTAATGTGTATCTGAATGAATACAACTATTCCTTTATCTATGCATCTTTGGGTCATTTTGGTCTAGAAGCTATTGCAACATAGATTTCATATTCCTAAACCCTATAGCTTAGCCTTATTTTTACAAACAGGAGAATTTTGAACTTTAAGTGCACTAACTTGTTAATTTAATTGTTTTATATTCCCACAACACATCCTTATATTCTGATGTAGCTCAATAATGTTCCTAGTATCTAGTTCAGTGTTTCTCAACCTTTGGCAGCTTGTGGACTCCAATTTCCAGAATTAGGGAATTTTGGGAGTTAAAAGTTCACACATCTTCTAGATGCCAAAGTTGAGAAACATTGGACTAGTTCCTAGTATATTGACTCCGTGTTAGAAAGCCTAACTAGATCAGTTTAATCTTTTGTTAGATTTGACTTTTTTTTGTAATTCAAGTGTAGTATCCCTGAGAAAATGGTTACAGTCATTAGGTAATTTTCTGATTAGCTGATTAGAAAGCAAAAAATACTTTGCAGCTAGGGCCGGCAAAACAAGAATCTGTTAAGCAATTGGTTTTCACCTATCTCCGATTCCCATAAATGAAATATTGCTTTCAATCTGCATTAAACAGTAAACTAAAATGGATACTCTCAAGTTGTTTCAACTGAAATAAATTCCACATGTAACCTGAAGCCAGCCTACCTATATCTTTTTTATGTCTGTCTACCCATCCATTTAAAATGGAGGGGGGGTGTTAGGTTAATTTGTAAAAAAATGAATTCATAATTTAAAAAGCTGTGAATTTGGTTTTGGCACTCATATATAGGCTAAAGTGGAGGGTTCCTGGTAGAAGAGCTTCACCCAGCAATTGCAAGCTTTCATTTCTTTCCCCCTTCCCTCCCCCCCACCCCAAGACACCTTCTGAGAGAAAAAGCTGCCAGTGGAGAAATGGCATTTTTCTGTGATTTGTAACAAATTCAAGAATAAAATCCAGGTAGCATTATAATGAAACCTACTTAATTCCAAATAAAAATCATAATTGTTCCAATGCTTTATATACTTTTCTTTCAAACAAATCTAATCAATCAGCAAGAGAAACAAAAATGCAGGTATAAGCACAATCCTCAGGGTAATGTTTAAAAGGATAACCTGGTGAAGAAAGCAGCTTGACCTTTGGACAATAATTTACTTCATGAGTGCAGATAAAATTTGGGGAGGAAATCTCATTGCTTTTCTTATTTCCACCACTTCCTTAGACTTTCAGTGATAAACAGTTTGAAATATTTTAAAAAGCCCAACTATATCAATAGGTAGATGATCTAACCAAAGAAAATTCAGATAATAAGATTGACTTTTCTTTGTGAAAGCCATGTCAATTCCTCAGCATGGCAGCTGGTTTTGTGTTTCATAGGTATTTATTAATTAAATTGATATGCCTCCCATCTCAGTCTCAAACAACTCTGGGTGACGTACAACATCATAAAACAGTAATATAAAACAAAACATGTAAACATTAAAAAGCCATAAACATCAAAAGTTAACAAAAAATATATAAGGAACCAATACATAAATCGATGGTGGGATCTTCTTCTTAATCTACAAAACACATCCAGAGTGGATACCTATTTTTAATCAACCATTTAATAGGAATGCTTTCTGCTAAATCAGATTTTAAAGCTTCACTTTCCACTTTACCCACCTTTTTCCAGTTGTTTAATTTAGCAATCAGCACTGGAATCCTATGTGTAGATACTAAGATGTACAGCTCTTCACTGTTTTCAATGGGATTTTCCTGGGGAGGTAGGAATATGGGATACAACCTGAGTGATATATTCCAGTAAAAAATAAAATCTTTCAGTCGTGTGTGTGTGTGTGTGTGTGTGTGTTTCAACCACACAGTTGTGTTCAATACTACTTACTCTCAGGTAAGAGTGGACACTACATTCAGATATAACTATATAACTCCTGAACACACAGTTTCTATTTTGCTTACTCAAGGAATTGCATTTTAATAGTAGTAGAAAAACACTGCTAATTGTAGTCAAGATATATAAACTGGATACCTGAAGTAACCCTGAAACTGTTAATAAACAGAACACAGCATATCTGTATCTACCATATCACAATCAATCAGAAGGCAGTTAAAATTAAGGAACACACTTTTGTAATTGAATGCAACAAGCATTTCACTCCTAAATACAAAAGTGATCATGTGACTTGATGGGGAATGGCTTTCTATTTTTGTAGTTTTTTCCCACAAATCAGGCCCTAAAGCAAAAAGGACCATGCATCCAAAACACTAGACACAACAACAGGAGAGTCCACTGTACAAGAGATGTAAATATTTACCATGTTCAAAATGTGCTGTCCAATATAGACAGAAAGGATTCACCAGCAACTTCCTCACGTTCTCAGGCTGCCTGAGCAGAAAGACAGGAGACATTCTCACAAGTTTCTGCTCTTCTGCCTTCAAATCAGCCTTGACTGATGTAGTACCCTCTCAGTATGTTAGGTTTATAACTCAGCATATGGCTAGGAGTGGTAATCCTAGTCTATCTGTAGTTCATGAGATTTGACCAGGCTACTTTAGAGTTAGGATTACATTTGCATGTGCCACTCTTTAAACACTGGAGAAACAGTATAAGAAAGGCCACAATGAAATTCGTTTTCTTAGATGACTTAGAAATGTATGATTGTCAGATTTTCAGTATCTCTGTACTCCTACTCGCACATAATTGATAACTGAAGCCCTAAATCCATTTGGTATTAAACAATGCTATTTGCTGGTGTCTTTGTCAAAAATATTTGAGAAAGAAAGTAAGCAAGCAGAGTAAAGAAAATTCTTCAGTGCATACTCTGCTTATTTACAGGAAATCCAACATTAGCAAAAGCATTCTAAAATGAAGCTGAAGCCACCTCAAAATAAAGAAAGCCAAACAGCATTTCTTGAAATTTGTGTCCTACAAGCAGCACAAAACCCTCTTAAGTGCTCCTTTCATTTTCAAGAATTGGTCTGAAGCTCTAATCATAAACCACCACCTGTTCATGTATCAACAAGATATCCAGCAGAAACAGAAAAGCATTTTTTCTTTAGACCGATGACTGAAATACCACAGTGTACTATTTGCACAAAAGACTCTGGCATAAGTAAGACAGTCACTCCTCCCATCTTCAATACCAAAGTTATACACTCTCTCTAGGGCAGTAAAACAGTGAAAAGGACTTAACCTTGGCAGCTTGAGACGTGCCTCTGGTGCAGTGTTTCTCAACCTTGACAATTTTAAGGCATGTGGACTTCAACTCCCAGAATTCCACAGCCAGCATTGCTGGCTGTGGAATTCTGGGAGTTAAAGTCCACATGCCTTAAAATTGTCAAGGTTGAGAAACACTGCTCTGGTGTGAAGAGAATATGCAGGTAAGAAGCCATGTCAAGAACTCAAGTGACCATTGTTAAAGTGAATTTATGGCTTTTAAGTATTACACAAAAATAAGCCCAGTAAAATTTATGACTCAGGATTGGAGATACATTCCATCATGGTCATGGCAGCACTATATTTCATCAAAAACCAATAAAAAATTGTATACATCTGACAAATATGTTTCTTCTTGAAACATAGAAATGTGCGCAATAAGAATAAAAATAAGAGAACTATTTTAGAAATTGGAAATTTCTAAAAATGGAAGCACTGCCTTGGTGATACACCTTGAAAACGATGCTTCAAAGCATTCCTTTTTCCTCTAAGCATAGAAGCCCACTGCTTTTTTCAGTTTTTCGGTTTTAAAGAAACATTTTTCCTTAAAATATCTACATAGAGGTCCCTGTTTTTTTTAGGATAGAGATAAAATGGTAGTCACTGATTAGCCAAGATATATTGTATATAGTTCAAGCTACGTATATAGCAGGGGTCTTGAAACTTGGCCCTTTTATGACTTGTGGACTTCAATTCCCAGAATTCCTCAGCCAGTGTGCCTGGCTGAGGAATTCTGGGAGTTGAAGTCCACAAGTCATAAAAGGGCCAAGTTTCAAGACCCCTGCTATATAGCAACTAATTACCAAAAAGGAAGAATTTCCAGGTGCTAAAATTTTTCAATCATTTGTGTATGCTTCCCTCCCCTCAAATTTGATAATCGAAAGTACCCTGCAAGGCTCACATTTCTATTTAGGAGTTATTGGCATTCCTCCAGCTGATGATAGTGACAGCAGGGTCCAATAACATGTTGGCAAAAAGAAAAAAAAGAATAAACTACTGCCATTTTGTAATACTTACTTTTGTTTCAGATTTAATGCTGGGAAATTCTAAATGAGATATTTCTGTTTTTTTATGCATGGATCCTTGCATATGATACAAAATGGCTGGTTAGGATTTGTGGTTGGGTGTTGTGTGGGGTATGGCAATTTTTGTGTGATCACAAAAGGATTGAGCAAAAGGATTGAGAGGAAAACCCAAAAAGAAAGCTAAAATAAATAAGCAAGCTTTTCACTATTACTCCCTGGGCCTCTCTTTTTGGTGACAAAAAAGCAAACTTCAAATAAGAGTTGGTTATAAGATAGGCAGCTATATAAATGCTTTAAATAAGCAAACACATATCCAGGCTGACGTATGTGCAGTTTTTCATGCAAACTCATAGCATAATTAACTGGTAATAGGTGAGGATAATCTGCCTGAGTGATTTCTTATGAACGTGCCCAAGGAAAACAGGAACCTACAGGCATAAATGCCTGGATTAAAAGGTACCTAAAAAGAATTCATATGAATTCCTCACAACAGAGAGACAATCAGAAACAGGACAAAAATAATCATCCTGCAAATAGGCCCCCAAATAAATAAAATAGTCTGTTTCTAAAAAAAACTACTGTCACAAATAAAGTCAGTAGTCCTTGGTATCCCTGAATTCAGGCATGCTCCACATTCTTCTGGTCGGCTCCATGCCCCTCTCCACATCTTCTGAAATGGTCTTGATATCACTGCTGAAGGGGGAAATCCTGATGCGGGATCTGAATGTGGTGAGGGAGAGGCTGGTTCTGTTCTTGGTGTTCCATTGTCTTGCAAGTTTCTTGGCCTCCTCTTCCTCTTTGATCTTCTCGGTGGCATCGTGCAGAACAGAACGGAAAAGCCGAGGTATTTCTCCAGGCTCTGGTTCATATTCAGCAATAAGTTGCCGAAATCTAAGAAATAAATGAGCAAATGATTCTATCCTTAGGAGGGCATATACAGTCCAGCTTCACTTAAACCCTCAAAGCAGAGACATATAGGTGTTAGCTTATGTTATTCTTTCATGTATCAGGATTTACACAACTTCTACCACCATCCCTTTGGGAGGGAAGGGCACATTTCTGTGTTTCTGTATTTTTACACAATGTATATTCTGTGTGGCATTTTTACTTAAACTGACCTGTATCTGACTTGTACTGTTTTTACTTAATGCAGTAGTTCTACTTACTTATTTATTTCTATTTCATAATTCTAAATCACCCATCTCCTTCCCTCCCTCCCTTAAACACACTGTTTCCTGGTGATCAATATAAATGAAAGAAATAAGAGCTAATCACCTATTTCCATCATTTGTATTTCCCCATCTATATAAACTATGGGTCCTCTTTAAAAAGAATCACTTGGCATTATAAATTACATGCAGTGGTGTTAATTTGGTTAAATTGGTAGCAGGCAGCAAGTTATTTATCTAAATTTTGCCAAACAAAATATTATAATAATCAGACTTCTGGATAAAACCGATCAGACCACTGCAAACTTTTGCCTGGAAAGACAGACTATGGACTTGAAGCAACTGATTGCATTTGTGATATATTTCTGCAAGTTATTTCCAACAAGAGTTTCTAAACAGGCACTCAGTACTGAATTCTTCATACATACAAATAGAATCAGCATTCAGTAATTGATTCTAGACAAGTCATTTAGAAGGCTGTGAATAATTTTTGAATTATTCATAAACATTTTTAAAAAACAGAAAATGGTTTACTCTGCTGCTTTTAGTCCAGTTCAGCTACAGGGGAAAAATCAATCACGTTTCAGTGCTAGATATTCTACCCAATTGCCTGCATTTGGTGTTCTCTAAATGTGATGCATTTCAGAATCCATAATCTCCAGCCAGAACAGTCTTTGGGATTAGGTTATTGCTACTTCACGCTCATTCTATATACAGTGCATGAGAGATTCCAAGCAAATACCTAATAATGATTGGTCCACAATAGGATGGATGTATTTTGGAACAGATATCCTCCAGCTGAAGACGCTCCCCTGGACTGATATCATAGCCTTGCTTGGGATAGCTAACCAGCCAACCATAATCAACTCCTGTTTTGATCTTGCGATACTCATTTTCTTTCTCCCGCTGTTGTTTCTCAGCTTCTTTGATCTGCCAATCAAGCTCCATCATCAGGGTTTCAGTCACCATTTCCATTGGGCTTTTTTGAGAAATACGATTAGAAGATTCATTCCATCCAAACCAGGATGCCAATGCCATGTTCTCCTTCCTTCCTTCCTTTATCTGCAAAGAGCAAGTGAAAACATAATGTTTTTCTGCTTACAACAGATAGGGTGGGCAACTTATATGTCTATTCATAGATATATAAATACAGACAGACAGACAGACACACAGAGAAAGAGAGAGAAGCATTCAAGTACAATATACACACACACAAATATTATATTGCTCAGATATTACCGTTAACAATAATGCTTATATTCTAATGAGCAAGAAAGACCAATATGAGAAAGACCAATATGAACAAAGCAATAGCAATAGCACTTAGATTGATATACTGCTTCACAGTGCTTTACAGCTCTCTCTAAGCGGTTGACAGAGTCAGCCTATTGCCCCCAACAATCTGAGTCTTCATTTTACCGACCTCAGAAGGATGGAAGGCTGAGTCAACCTTGAGCCACTCAGGATCGAACTCCTGGAGTGACCAGTGAGTTAGCCTGCAGTACTGCATTCTAACCACTGCACCACCATGGTGAATATTAGTCCTGAAGGCTGTATCAGAAGTAGCAGGTCTCTGAATTCTACACAGTGTTCTCATAGTACTCCTATTGACTTCCAATGGACATCTGAGGGAGGGAAGGAGGGAGGAAGGGAGGGAGGGAGGGAGGGAGGGAGGAAGGAAGGAAGGAAGGAAGGAAGGAAGGAAGGAAGGAAGGAAGGAAGGAAGGAAGGAAGGAAGGAAGGAAGGAAGGAAGGAAGGAAGGAAACAGAACAGCCAAATAAATATTCTTTCCCTACCTCAGATATTATCTACAAAATTATATACTGAACTAGCAGCAGTTTGCTAATTGGCTTTTCAGAACTCATTCCCAATCCGGTTGGAGATACCTTGATCCTCAATGACAGAGCTGAAATTTCCCTAGGTTTTTTTCAGTGTAATATTTGATTGATATTTCAGAAAGTTGAAACTTTAAAGAAAATGGCCATTCTCATACCAAACATTGCTCCATACTCAACAACAGCCTCCCACACAAGTGGCCTTTTCTGACAATGAATGCACCGATTTTCATTCTCTATACATGAGGTTGATTGTGTAATGGGCTTTCCCCACCTCTGTTGTTCATGATTTTTCATGCTACCTCACAAAACAACAAGAAGCTACTTGCAGCTAGTCCAACTTGGGAAGGAAAGACTTGAAAAGCTCACTGTAGTCAGCCATTCTCTCAACATCAAGGTTAAGAGGTTCTTCAACACTGTCTTAAGGAACTTCTCAAGCATCTATAAAGTAAAACACTGTAAATTGCTCAGCTAGATGAGTTCCTTGTTGTCCAAAATATGAGGTTAAAGAAGATGAAAAGGAATAGGAAATATGCTTTAAAACAGTTTCCCTCAAATTAAGGGAAATTCTCCAATTTCTGGTGATTACCAGCTTGATAAGGCTAGTTTTAACAAAGTCACCAGTATGTCACTAAACAGTGAAAAAGAAACCAAGTATATTACATCCTGAATTTAGAAAAGGCATAAAAGATTCATCTGAACAGATAAAAATGAAGGGTAGGCAAGCATTTGGCCTGCTCTAAATGAAACAAGGTAACTCTCACAATTAGGAAAAACCTTCTGTTCATCCTAAATAAAAATTTTACATACTGCAAGTTAAATAATTTGTAGAAACAAGGGATATGTATATACAATTCAGAAGGTTTCCAAGAGTGTCTGTTGGAAATAGCAAGCTTTTGGAGGGACGAAATGATTGTCAATTTACCATATATAAATCCATATATAATATATAATATAATCCTAATGGCAAAGCAATCATGCTAAACAGAATTTAGACAGAACATAATTGTAAAGTCTTATAATGCTAATATAAAGACCTCAAAATACAAGTATTTTTGAGAAAATAAAATATAGCAAATAGATAGTCCTCAACTTATGACCGCAGTTGAGCCCAGAATTTATGTTGCTAAGTGAGAAATTTGTTAAATGCGTTTTGCCCCATTTTACAACTTTTCTTGCCACATTTGTTAAGTGAATAACTGCAGTTGTTAAATTAGTAACATATTTGTTAAGTGAATTTGGCTTCCCCATTGACTTTGCTTGTCAGAAGATCGCAAAATATGATCTCATGACCTTGGGACACTGCAACAGTCATAAATATGAATCAGCTGTCAAGCAACTGAATGTAAATCATGTGATCATGGGGATACTCCAAACGGTTCATAAATGGAAAAACCATAAGTCACTTTTTTCAGTGTTGTTGTAACTTTGAACAGTCACTAAACAAAAGCTGTAAGTCAAGGACTACCTGTAAAAATAAAGTCAAATTCATTTTTAGTGATAACAAGAGTAAAAGTGCTATACATTAATGGAGCTTACTTCTGAGTAGACCTATCTACTCTAAAACAAGTCCCAGGAAATTCAATGGGAATTATACTCAGGGACTTACAATGTTATGGCTATGCAGTCTAACAATAGATTTAAAAGCAAACCTGTTTCAATTTGTGAAGAAGGTAGAGATTTCAATTTTGCATTTCCATGATATGCAAAAGGCATTCAGCACTTTAGGTAGTTGGCCAGCACTTAGCACCATACGGTGCTATTGGGCAACCATCATTCTATACACTTTCTATTTTAAGTAAATTAACATGCACCTATTACAAAAAAAAATCTCTTGTAATTACATTCATCCTCATGCACACTTTCCTACTAATGCCACCATCATTTTGCAGATGGAATCCTAAGTAACGGAAGGAGTTTGTTTGCATTAGAACTTCGCCCGTTGATCTTGACTGTGAGGTGCTCAGGCTAATCTCTAGATAATCAGTTTTCTTGATATTAAGTCACAAACCAAATTGGGTAAGACTGTCATTCCATGTCTAGACAAAGCATGCAGTTCTTCCCTAGTGGGTAGCTGTGAGGAAAACATCATCAGCATAGAGCAAGGCCCAGGGGACACTATAATACAGATCTTGCATGATGGTATCCATGACGAGAATGAACAGCGATGGTAATAACATCTTGGTGCCTGATAATTTTCACAGGAAAGCCATCGGAAAGGCCAATTATTCATCTTACTTGGCTTCTGGTATTCTTTCACAAGTTCACCATGCTTGGTAAAATGACCATGTTTTCCACATTTCTAATACTGATTAAAAGTACCTTTATACATCTCAGATAATTTCCCAGGTGCCACAAACCAGTGGTACATTATTTTGTACACGTTACCTTTTAACACAGTGTGAATTTAGTCTTTTAAACAACTCCTCTTGCTCCCTCTGTATGACAGAAATTCTTAGCCCATTTCATCATGTACTCTTTAACTTTTTCTTCTTCCATTTCAAATCTCAGCAAAAGTTTATACATTTTAGCAATCACATGTTCATCATCTGTACATAATTCATTTTCAAATTCCATCTTATTTGTATAATTTCAGTTATTCTTATCTGTATTACATCTTCTTTTAATTGTGCTTATGAAAACAACTGAAAACTAAATCCATCTGCAATCAATTATTCTCTTGACTTCATTTTAAGTTCCTCCCATTCCTGTATTAGCATTAGGGTAGTCTTGACTTAGTGACTATTCATTCAGTGACCATTCAAAGTTACAATGGTGTTAAAAAAAAATAACTTAACAGCCCATTTATGACCATTACAGCATCCCTCAGTCATGTAATCATCATTACAATCAGTATGTGTTGTCCTGTGCCTGATGTGTGTGGGGTTTTTTTCTCTTTTTCCCCCCTTGCAAAGCAGAGAGATGGGAGAGAAAGGGACTCCAAGAAAATAAGTTGTTTGTTTTTCTACACATGAAAGGCAATGTGATCACACCAACACCCTGGGGCTGGGAGCTGTGAGTGCCTATGCAGCAGGACAGAATCAGGCAAATATCACTCTTTTTTTTTTTTTGCTTGCTGCTGAAAAATTCTTTGAGTTGAAGTCAACATATCTTAAGGTTGCCAAGATTGAGAAACACAGATCTATTCTATACAGATCTATTCTGCTATATCCTAAAAAGAAAAGCGTGCCAGTTTCAACATTTGAGTGAATACATGATAGGCTGTCACAGATTTTGATATTCATATTCAGATGGCCTTCTATATAAATATTGGACTTCAGTTCTCTAGGTTTTCAGTCATACCATACAATATTTACTTCTGTTGTTCTTTTAAATGAAAATAAGATTGAACATGCACCCATATAGTCACAACTAGAGTTACATATCACTATTGAAATCTTAGTGATTACTTAATTTTAATTACAGTCATAATTCACTTAATTACTTTGTCAAAAAGTCCCTGACCACCCATCCCCACTACAGCACAACCAACACACGCTATGAAAAACATACCATATATCAAAAACATCTCAGAAACAGTCAACAATTATAACCACACCACATCTCTATAACACACAAACCAACTTAAGGCCTCCAAAACCTTAAGTAAACCAAAAGGCCCACTGGAAGCTTGCTATTCAAATAAATCAGCCATCAATAGACCCATAAACCCTAATCTAAACAATAAGCCAACTTCAGAAGAATGAGGGTACCAGTTGGGGAAATAAACAATGAAATGGCAGCTTATAAACCAGCATTGTGCAAGCAATTTAGCCAGCAATTAGCAAATTATAAAAGGTATGAAATAAACCATTCCAGCAGAATCCCTAACTCTAGACAGAGAAACCCCATGCTCTTGAACTACATGTTGGACCAGCTCTGGCTGCAAGTCAGTGAAGGAATTACTGTGAAAGTGAAAGTGCATCCAGTGCTTGTTCTACTTCAGTAAAACTTAGTAATTTTTGAAACTCTGCCTAGTGGTAAGATGAGGTGCAGACGCTCGCCTCACGCTCAGGAGGCTGAGAATTCAATCCTAGAAAGCGACAGATGTTTCTCTGTCACGGCGCAAAGAGTAAATATTTGTTGCAAATTCTGCATAGGCATCAGGAAGAGCATCCGGCTAGTAAATAGTCAGCTCCATTCAATCACCCCAACTCCCCCCTGATACAAGAGATTACAGGGTTGTAAAAAGCAAAAAAAAT